AGGAGAGAGAGAGAAGAGAGAGGAGAGAGAGAGAGAGAGAGAGAGAGAGAGAGAGAGAGAGAGGATGACCGGGAAGTGACCTTCACAGAAACAGCAAATAACCTAGAGCTATGAGCTTATCAGCCACTCATTACACCCGAGCCAAAATTAGGATCCTTATTACAAGCATCATCATATCACCTGGATCTATGAATAGCTGGGAATCTGGATGAGACAGCTCAATGACTCCCAGACACGTGCGGAGTTTTGTGCATTCCAGTCACGGTCTCTTATGTGACCCGACATAACACGCCTTATTCTCCCTCATGCCTCACACACCGATCCGTTTCTACCACATCACGTTCGCAGCTCGCGGCTTGTCCGGTCACCCGGGGCGCCGGCTGACCGATCACCTGACCTTCAGCGGTCGGCACTGACCGATGACCACTGCGGCGGGGCGCAGGTCATCCCCCATCGGTCACTGGAGCCCCGTGGTCTCAGATGACCGGCGCCATCGCTCGTTGGCCCAGTGACCCGCCGCAGAGACGGCCTTAGGTGCGGTCTCTTGATGCGGCCTCAGATCGGTCTCTTATACAGTGAGTGCTGAGTTGCAACACACCGGCACCAGCAAAGGCAGGTTATGAGGCATGGATGGAGGTGAGCGAAGGCAGTTAGAGAAGCTGAGAATGCTATTGTCTGCGTGGGTGGGCCGCCGGTGAAGCCCCCGTGAAGGTCTTCAGACGTTGGCATGCGAATGTGAGAGCTATGAATGGAAGCTGGGGTTTTTTGCCGGGCTGATGAAATGGCCGAGCTGAAGAATAAAGATAAACGGTTGCGATAAGAAAAATGAATGGCTTGCTTCAGGCAGCTCTAGAGGTCATGAGCTCGGAATTCAATTTTGTTTTCCGATGCGTGGATAGTATGTAGGGCTTTGCTAGTTCACGTTCTCATTAGAGGCTGTGGATCTCTCTCCCTCAATCTCTCCCTCTCCCTCTCTTTTTCTTTCTCTCTCTCTCTCTCTCTCTCTCTCTCTCTCTCTCTCTCTCTCTCTCTCTCTCTCTCTCTCTCTCTCTCTCTCTCTCTCTCTCTCTCTCTCTCTCTCTCTCTCTCTCTCTCTCTCTCTCTCTCTCTCTCTTTCTCTCTCTCTCTCTCTCTCTCTCTCTCTCTTTCTCTCTCTCTCTCTCTCTCTCTCTCTCTCTCTCTCTCTCTCTCTCTCTCTCTCTCTCTCTCTCTCCCTATCCCACCCTCTCTCCCTTTCTCTATCCCTCCGCCTCCCGGTCCTGCCCAGGTGTTTGATTCTTGATTGTTTTGTTGACGTACATACTTCTCTCCGGCACACGGCAGCAGGCCTCCCCAGCTCCTCGTCTGTTCGCTCGTTCGTCTGTTCGCTCATCGTCTGTTCGCTCGTTCGTCTGTTCGCTCATCGTCTGTTCGCTCGTTCGTCTGTTCGCTCATCGTCTGTTAGCTCACTTTTCGTTTGCCCTCGGGGAAGGTGTGTGCTCGTGTTTACGGTCGGCCGATTACCGGAGAATTATTGACCGTAAAAACCAGCAGGCGCGGAACCGCTGTTATAACGTGTTTACTGCTTACCGACCTATTCCTTTTTAGGGATTTATTGAGTTCAAGAAGACGTATATTTAAGATAATACCAAACTGTTGGCTAGTGCAGTGGTGAATTGATGAACGCCTTCAAAAGGTAGGTAGGAAAGCTAGCAGCGACATCAGCGAGACGAATTTTATCGTCCATTTATCACAGTGACGCATACAGGCGGTGACGTTACGTCATCCCGTCTCGTCATTCACGATGACGGATCGTATGGCAATAGCCATTAGGTCGCGTTTTACGGGCTACCGAAGCGGCGATGACCTCTACCGACGATTGAGCGTTGGGCCATTCGGCCCGCTTTCAGCGATGGATTCGTTTAATGTATGCGAGTGTTTGTGTCTAGCGAATGGGTGACTCGGGCTCGACAAAAACGCTGAACGGCAGCCGATGGTGATTTATTTCCATTGATCGTTGGTCTCTGGTCAAGGTCTTGAAAACATCTGGTACGTAGACGGGATATTTTTGTGCCCTGACTGACTTGTAAGCTTAACAAATTACACGAATTCCTTCATGTTACGACATATTTACGTTTAACTTCTAAACCTGATCCTTCTTTCATAATTCACCCACTCATAGTTGCGGCACTCGGCGCTAGAGGCGCTACATGCGCGAGCGGTTGACCGCTCGCGAGGTCAGTTCTGTCCCGCATCTGTTTTGTTTTTGTAAAAACAATATAGGGCCGCCTCTGGCCGAGTGCCAGCAACGTTGGTTTCTTGAAACGGGACTGCACCAAGACCCTTTATAGGTGGCACAACGAATGCGATTAATTAGCACACTAGTTAGCTACTATAATGAAAGGGTCGCCAACTACACCCAGTGGCATGATTCGTCTAGTAAGTCGCGTCTCCGACATCTGACATCGCCATCAGAATCACCTTTGATCAGTGTCAATCGCGAATCGCTTTATGATTATGTCGATTTGTTATGCTGCTAATTGCGGGCAACATCCATCTGTAATTAGCCCAAAGGTGCTAAATGCATTTGCGTGGCATTTCATGTTTTAAAAAATGTAAAAGTAAAACAAATGAAATAACTGAGATTGATGGAAAATCTATGCATCCCAGTACTTGATTCCTTTCATTTCATCCATCTATATCACCATCACTTTCACCGATACTACCGTTCGCCACCCCATCCCACCGTCTCCCCTCCCCATCCCTCCCTCCCCGGTACTCACGTGCACTCGGCATGGTGGCCGCAGAAGAAGGGTACCGTCAGCTCGGGGTACTGATGGCCGTTCAGATAAGTACACTCGGTACCCGACGTCCTCAGGCACTCCTCCAGTGTTAGTGACCAGTTGGGAGCAGCAGATGGAGGAGGCGAATAGCCCCCCAGCACGCGGTCATGGGTGAACCTGGGGTCACAGAAGGTCAGAGGTCAGGGATGACACTCGGGGACATGCGATGACACTTGAAGAGATTGGGAGACAGCCGGCGATGAGACATGACGGGAGATGACAGGCGCCGGATTTGAGTCTGCGTGGGGTCGGCGCCGGGTCAGTATGAGGTCAGATCGAGGTCAGATGGAGGTCACAGAGGTCACAGTCACGCCGAGCCTCCGGCACCGGAACACACTGGAGACTCTGCGGCTGTGGAGGCCGCCATTGTGGTGTGTAATTGGCTGCTGGATGCCGGGGCTGTGGTTCTGGCTATGAAGTCGCGGTTTAGTGGTGCCCTCGAGGTCGTGACATCGGTTAGGGTGAGGATTCCCGGCTCTGATTAGTATATTGTCATCACGCTGGCGTGACAGATCCAGTTCGCTTGATTTTTAGTTGTTATTGGCCTTGATTTTATGACATATTCTCTTGGTTCTGTTAAGACCAGTTCCTATATATTTGCACCATTTTCTGTTATTATCGGGAAAAGTGGTGTGATCTGGTGAGCTGCAGTACCGTTGTTTTGCCCATCCCATATTTTAATTTTTAGTTTCAGCTCTCAGGCTCCATACACTGGCCGTCTATTCTAACGTCCCATTCTCGTTTTTACCAGCCTGGATCCTCAACTCAAACCACAGCCCAGCGCTTACCAGCCGCAGACCAATTGAAAACATGTGGTCAGAGGGAGAAAGCTATTGTTTGTCACATAGCCGCGGTCTTGGCCGCGGTCGGACCTTTCCCAAACCACGGTTCCGTATTGGATACACGGATGGCTCTTAGCCGTGAGTTAAAGGTAGTGTGCCAGCTTTCTTGGACCGTATGGAGTTAATGGCCCAGATAAGGAGAACCGGATTTTTAGAACTTATCCATACCTTCAAAACTCATGGAAACGGCTTAAATTCTTCAAATTTTGAGTACCCCAGTGCGAAATTCGCCCCGACGGGTTGTCGGTCGTACCCCAACCACATTTCACACCACTATGAACAATAAATGCACACACTGAAATCGCTATTACCGATATGCTCATTAGGGTGTGTCATCGAGGGGGTGATTCTCGCAGAATCAAACGCCGTAAGGTTTTTCCTTGGCACATTGATCAATAATGAATTTTCATCCATATCCGAGTCCACCAAAATTAAAATTCGTGCGGCGCCAGCCGTTCAAAGTTTTGGCGCCCGGCGTTGCAGTCTCCAATGCTGAGCGTCACCCAGCACTGCGAGTAACACCAAGTATTGTAGGAGGTAATAATGCAAAATAACTGCCGCTGAAAATGATGCTTTTGAGCGCTTCTAAGGCTGATTGTTGCAAAAAAGCATGTCCTTAGAGTGTCCATTTATTCTTTTTATTGTGCTCAATGAATTAAATCGAGCATGGCTTCTGAAACTAAAGAAGAAGCTGCCCGATTTTGAGAAGCGGGCGGGGTGGAGGCGGAGACGGCAAGTGACTCAGATGCGTCTTCTGAAAACACCGACTCCGTGGCATCCTCTGGGCGGTGCTTCTTCTTCTTCTTCTTCTTCAGCATGTCATCTCGTGTGGCCCGGCCCGTCTCCACCAGGATGTCCCGGAGGCTGCGTCGGCAAAGGGCCCCACGGGCGGGTCCGTGGCCCCTGGTAGGCGGGGTAGTCGACCAACAGGTGTTTGGCCGAGTCCGGTTCGTCGCAACGGACTTTCTCGTCAGACTCGGCCGGACCGAGTCGGAATCGGGTGTCTCCGGTGAGTGGGGAGCAGCTCACGCGGAGCTGTGCCACTGTGATCGACGCTCGGCGGTCCAGTTCTCTCTCCGTGGCCCAGAGCGCCACATCGTCCGCATTCGCAGATGTGTACCTCCAGTTCCCGAGCCGCAGTTATAGCCGGTCATACGAGCCTGCAGGGTTAGCGTCCGATGGCTGCGTTGGTCCTTCAGGAAGACAGCCTCCTGCTGAGTGACTCAGTGGGCGATGAGACTTGTGCACCTGCTCTGAGAGTTGCATTTGCATTTCGCGATATCCAGGAGTTGTTGAATTATGCAGTGGCGGCGCTTTGCTGGTTCCCTGTGTCGTGCTATAATTGTCGTATGGGCATTTCCTAATCAGCTACGTTTTTTTCGCCTCGTGAATTATGATCCGGATAGCATAGGGCCCTGCCGAAAGTGACACGGCCGCGTACAAAACATTTCGTGATAGGACAGCCGGCACTTTTGTCCCAACAGCGACTGCTGACTAAAGCAGAGGCCTTCAGTTATGTCAGGTCATAGGCGGCGGAACGGGGGGGGCACCGGGGCACCGTGCCCCCCCTTGAATTCTGCAAGGGGGGCACCAATAGCAAGGTGCCCCCCCTTAAATTTGATGTATTAGTACCAGGGGCGGATTCGGGAAAACTCCAAGGGGAGGGTCATGAATCGAAGTGGTTCCCCTACCTATGCCCAAAATTAAAACCTCAACGGATTTCGGCCACTTAATTTTGGTGGTGCCCTATTTTCAGTTTTTTTATTTTTTATTTTTGGTTAGTCATGTGATGACTGGTGCCCCTGGTGCCCCTGCTAGGCCGCTGGTGCCCCTGAAAAGACTGTGGCACCTACCTACCCTGCCCCCTGACAAGCCTACGGTGGGCCCTGACATGACTTAGGTGCCCATGGGCCCTGACAGGCCCGTGGTGCCCCTGACAGGCCTGTGGTGTCCTTGCTAGGCCTGTGGTGTCCCTGGGCCTTGACAGGTTTGTGGTGCCCCTGTTAGAACGCAGGTGCCCTTGACAGGTTTGTGGTGCCTCTGACAATCCTTAATTGCCAACGACAGGCTTGTGGTGCCCTTGACAGGCCCATGGTGCCCTTGCGAGGCCGGTGGTTCCCCTGCGAAGCCGATAGTGCCCCTGGCAGGTCTGTGGTGCCCCTGGAAGACCTGTAGTGCTTTTGCTAGGCCGATGGTGCTCCTGACAGGCCTGTGGTGCCACTGACAGGCCCGTGGTGCCCCTGCTAGGCCTGTGGCATCCCTGGCGGGCCTGTGGTGCCCCTGTCGGCTGTCAGGCCTGTGGTGCTCCTGGCAGGCATGTGGTGACCCCAGGCCCTAAGTCATGACCCATGTGACCTCCACCCTGGGATTCGCCACTGATTAGTACTGCGATGGCTTCTTGTTTTTGGGAATTATACATGTAGGATAAATCGAATTTATCAAACGACAATAAGGAAGAGACAAACACATAGGTACTTGAGGATCAGCTTAAAGTTAACCACACATACGGGCAGGGGTGTAATTTTCCTAAAATTATTGTGGGTGCCCAGCTGTAGGGGCGCCCGGCGCCAGGCCGTTTTGGGGCGCGATAGATATTCTTTATGTGGGAGCCTAAATTAACACCGAATTTGATAACATTGCTAGCCGAATGGCGCTTCAAGTGACGTGTCTGACTAAGCAAATACACGCTTAAAAGTGGAGACTGACCGGAAGGACGTAAAAAAGATGTAGAGAGGCGCCATCCAGTAGGAGGGGCACGAAATGTGGAGGCACCAGACGGTTACGACTTACGAGGGCGCCGTGAGACGATGAAAAGGGCGCCATTCTCTTAGGAGGGCGCCGAGTGATTAAAACGCTATGTGGTCCAGGGGCGCTAAGAGGCCAGAAGGGCGCCGCACAGTCAGTAGTGCTACGTTGGTGGGGACGTGGGGGCGCCAGATGGTTACGAGGGCGCCTTGAGATCATGAAAAGGGCGCCATTCTCGTAAAAGGGTGCCGAGTGATTGAAAACGCTATATCGACACCATTTTTTAAAACCCACATCTGCTCTCCCGTGAATTTCCGGGAGGCACGAAAGATCTCCTTTTAAAGGAACTATCCCACCTTCTAAAATGTTGTTAAAACCAGTTAAATTGTGCCCGACTTTATAGATTGGATGACCAGGAAAACGGTTCTGGCATTTATTTTTCATTAAACATCTTAGGCTTCCCATACACACAAACTTTCAAATATGTGACATCACAGCCCAAAATTACCTCCTTCCCCAGGCCACATTACTGTCATAAAGCTGATTCTTTTTACTCTGTAGGCACCACAATAAAGTTCAGACCAAGTTTTAACCCTCGCCCGTAAACGGCGATCTGCCACCTTCGCCCATGCAGGGGGGGGGGGGTTGGTGCGACCCCCCCTTGGCGTTTGAAAACGGAGCGTCGTAGAGCTTAGCGGAAAAGACCAACGGATTGCTCTCGCCGAGATCTCGCGATTGGTGGTATAGTTTTTGGTCCTAGGTCAACATTTGACCTACTTTTGACCGGTCAAAGGTCAAATTTTTCGGAAAAATAGACTTTTTCAACTTTCCGCGGCGATTGCGGCAAAACGGTGGAAGATATCGACTTGAAACCTTTACTTTCGTGTTCCTTGATCAATTCTCTATCGTTTGGTATGTATTTCGTTTCCCTAGCTCTAAAAATGGCGCGTTGGGAGCGCCGGAAGTCGGCAAGGTCACAGTCGGCGGCAGAAATTCGAAAAATCAAAATTTAAATTTTTGAAATCTGATTGTGTTTTTGGATTTGGGAGGTCCATTTGCTCCCTATAGAAGCTAATATTGCTGCATATTCCCATCGAGGTGACAAGAATTAGCAAAATAGTGGTTCGGGCGCTTTTCAAAAATAGTACCGGACGCTGTTCCTCTTGTGACGTCATAGCTCCGTGACCTGACCTGACCCGGTCAAGTTTCTTATACCATATGATAGCCAATACTTGCCCCAACATGCATGGGAAGTTTCATCACGATCCATCAACCGATGTCCGTACCACCGGCAGGAAACCTCGGGCGTTGGCACTCAGTTTGTGAAAATCCGGCCGGAGGCTGTTCCCTTTGTGACGTCATAACTCCGTGACCTGACATGACCCGGTCAATTTTTTTTATCAAAAGATGCGCAAGGTTTGCCCCATAAGGTACCCAAAATTTGGCGGCGCTGCGCGCCGCCGTTTTTGCACTATTTCCGAAAAACCTCAGGGGGGGGGGGGGTTTGCACCAACCCCCCCCCCCCTACAT